ATCGTATTTGCTATATCATTATGATCTGAAATTGATGAAGATATCCCTGAATGAGTGGTTTGTAAAATCTATGATCCTCTGGCGAATAATTGACCTCTGACAATAATGAAACATCTTGTATATATACCCAAGTTTTTGGGAAAAATACTCGATAATAGTGCAATTGGCTGGCACCTAGTAGACGATCCTTTACGTGTCGAATTTAAGTTGTTCTGGTGTGGAGATTTATCTTAAAGGGAACTATTAGGAAACATTACTGGTCATTGATTAACTTTTCTATATGTTCTGAATATTTTGCATGAAGAATCCCCTGAAATAGTTTCGAATTACATTCCTGGCTACATGGCCCCTCATAAAGTATTATTCCATAAAGCCGTTAGGGAGAGAATATATATAATTTTTATACCCTCCACCATAGTATGGAGGGTATATTAAGTTTGTCATTCCGTTTGTAACACCTCGAAATATACATTTTAGACCCCATAAAGTATATATATTCTTGATTAGCATAAGATTCTATATCAATTTAGCGATGTCTGTCCGTCTGTGGAAATCACTCTTGCTTCCGAACGAATTGAATCAGAATGATAAAATTTTACTCAAATGTATATTATGTTTGGTGTAGCCCCCATATAACGGTACCTCCCGATATTCGGCGTTTTAATGATTTAAACGAAAATATTCATCGGAATTGTTTCAAATTTGGCATTTGAAGTTCGTCATGAATACCACAGCCTATGACAAGAGATTGTCTGTACAGGTCCACGTCTTCGTATAGGCCCCCTATATTCGTTATTTTGATGATTTTAGCTACATTATAAACAGATTTTTTTCAAGTTTCGCATTTGAATATTGTTATGGCTTATGACAAATGTTACCTATGCAGGTCCATGTCATCGAATAACCCCAAATATGACGGCTACATTTGGTATTTTTAAGATTTTAACAGAATTTTTAACGGATTTTATGCCAAATTCGTTTCAAATGCTGGAGGCTATTCAAAGTTCGGCCCGGCTGAACTTACAGCTTTTTTACTTGTATTTTTTTAATTTATTGCACGAAATCATTATTTATTAAATTGGTCACTCAAAACATTTTAAACCTATTTTAAAAATTACAGCCTTAGAGAAGACTTTACACCCTTGCTAAAGGATTGCTTGTGTTTGGCATGTCAGAAACACAACCGAGCCTATATTCACCATTTATATAAAACTTCGGAACTTTTGGGACCAATACTGTTAATGATGTAAGTATTTTGACATTTTTTATATCTCGTAATAATGACTGTCTTCTATTTTCATTTACAGCCATAATTTACATCACTTAATGCAATTCTTTAAGAAAATACATGAATCCATTGCCGCGGATAGTTTAGATAATTTGATACAACTAATAAAATATCAAGGTGGAGACAAAGTTGTTGAATATCGTATAACTGCCAATACTAAAGTTATTAGTAAAGCTGGTCTAGGTAAAGGATTTGTCGAGAGTAAATCATAGAAACAAAACTGACAAAAATCAACGCGTATAATTTTAAAGCTATTTGTACTTATACAAATAATGAAAACACATATGATAAAATAACTAGATGACATTTAAAAAATAATTGTAAATTTGACAAAACACATTTCCAGTTTCTGTATTAATAGTTTGTATAATATCCTCCTCTTGCAATTGATCATATAGTTGTTTTGCTAAAAATATATAAAACAAACATTTTAAAAATAATTTTACATAGAAGATTCATTATTTATACTTACCTCCCACTGGAACATATCCAGCCAGTTCACAAAATCCTATATTGTAAGTGTTGAGATTTTTTACAATACAATATTCTTGCCTTACAAAAACAAATACTTTTAATATATTTTCTTTGCTTGGAATCCTTTCCGGTGTTAAAAATAAATTATGGGGCATATTGTTTGTACACAGCCATTGCAGGAATGCATTTAATTTTAGTACTTTTTTAAGTATTATAGCCTCTGTATCTTCCGCCTTAAATTGGAAACATACGGCGTCGGTAGGCATGTTTGGAGATATACGCAAAACCTCTGATTGGCTGAGAAATTGTAGTTCCTGAAAAAAAAACCGAAAGGTAGTATCAAAGTCAGAATCATTAAGAAAACTCGCACTATAACTTACCGCCCGATCAATATACAATTCTTGTTCAATAAACATTAAATGCAAATGTAAATGATTTACAGATGCTAAAGCTCCGGGACTGTTGTAACCAATGCGGAAATTACTTTCGCCATTCTCAATTAGGTTCATTAGAAAATCTACACAAAATCTCAAAGCTTTTTCACAAATACGTTGTGGTAAACCCAAGTGAACATCAGGACAAATAAGCGTGTGATAACGTGTCAGGGGACTGTTGTTAATAATCATGGATATCTTACTGCCCTCATATTCCACATTCATTAAACACTCCTCAGGCTTAATTTTCTTAAAATTAAATTTCTCCTCATCGAATGCAGGATCCAGTGATAGAATTGTTTGTGGTGCTCTACGTAGGGCAGTGCGGTCGGGATTGAACTGAAATCCAATTTAGGTTTTTACTTATTTTGTTTATGGTACGTCTATATCCACATACCTCTGAATAAAAACCATAGTTGCCTGGAAGAATTTTACTTTCGGTTACATTTAGACGATAGGCAAAGATGTTCGGAACGGATTGTAATTGTTGCCACTTTTCCTTTAATTCATTTAACAGCAATTTGCTTTCAATGGTTTTGGTGGACATGGTAAAGGCGGAGATGTTCCTGTGTCGCAAAAGAAAAAAACATATGTTTTTGTTTACCTATGAAAGGGCCATATGTTTTTTGTTGTTTTGGTTAGTAGGGATGTATAAGCCGACTTTTGTTTTGCCGCGCAATTGTATTAATACTATGTTCTCATAGAAATTTGAATACATAAAAAAACTTAAACCGTTTCTATGCACAAAGATACAGCCTACAACAAATACCTATTAAGGTGAGAATAGGTAAAACGATATTTTTACTGGCTTAAGGGTGCAAGCATGGTACAATGAAGAAAAGGAAGGTCAACTTTGAAAAAATTGCAAGTATAGAGGTCTACCTGTTTGGCTTGTAATGTCAAAATTAGTATCAAAACAATAAAAAATCAAACAACTTGTTGCATTTATTTTGAATAAATAATTGAAAACCGCGATAACTGAATGAATGGTCAACACTTTTTTTCAAAATCATGTACTATATATCTCTAAAGGATTATTTCGCTACAAAAACTCTAGATTTTGTCGATGCATACGTTGAAATAAACATTTTGAAAACATCCGAATTTGAATATTTTCTGAATAATTTTTTTGTTATTGAAAAGAAAACACATACATAAACAAATAAAGATGACACATTAAGCAAAGAAAATAAAAAAATTAAAATCAAATGGTATCACAGCCCTACCTTGATATCATTGTACCATGGGTGCAAGTACATAAAAAGCTTGAAGTCAAGGCTAGGCATATTAATGTCAAGTTATAATGGACAACGACGGCAGGATTTTATTGCGACTTTGTACTCCCTTTGTGAAATGTCACAAAATATGCCTAGCCATGACTTCAAGCTTCTTATGTACTTGCAGCTTAAGTCATTGGCTGGCTTCTCCATAGAGAAACAAAGTGTAAAGATAGGACAAGACAAAAATAAAATATGGCAACCATGTGAAAATGCCTCTGTTGTTACGATATTATAGCAACATAGCTACCAATGTTAACTAATTTAAACCGCTAAGGCAATATGCAAATTTTTGGAAAGGTCTATGGAATAGAATTTTGAAACCAAAATTTCGAATTTTTCAAATTTTTATTTGTTATTCGTTTTTGTGATTGTGGTTTTTATATTAACATGTCTCTGTCATATGCTGTTACTCTGTGTATTGTAGACACAAACCATTTGCTCAAAATGCATCAAAGACATAGAAGTGTAAAGATATGACAAGACAAAAATAAAATATGGCAACCCTGTGAAAATGCCTCTGTTGTTACGATATCATAACAACATAGTTACCAATGTTAACTGATTTAAACCGCTAAGGCAATATGCAAATTTTTGGAAAGGTCTATAGAATAGAATTTTGAAACCAAAACTTCGAATTTTTCAAATTTTTATTTGTTATTCGTTTTTGTAATTGTGGTTTTTATATTAACATATCTCTGCCATATGCTGTTACTCTATGTATTGTAGACACAAACCATTTGCTCAAAATGCATTTTGTCTAGTCTTTACCATTCTAGGTCTTTGAATGCATTTTGTCTAGTCTTTACCATTTTAGGTCTTTGAACAATGGTGTTATAGGTTGACTTAGTTCGATTTCGGCCCTACGCTGATTTGTTCTTTTCCGAAGAAGCCAGTCGATGACTTAAGCCAGTCAAAAAAGCGTATTCTCACCTTTATTCCTGTAACTCCAATTGATATAGGCATAGGCAGTAGTGTTCCACGGATTCACAATTCTAAGCTGGATTTGACACCTAAATTAAAAAGTTATCTAATTTTCATCTTTACTTAAGTTTTTTTTTATCCATTTTTATACCTTCCACCGTAGTATGGAGGGTATATTAAGTATGTCATTTCGTTTGCAACACCTCGAAATACACATTTTAGACACCACAAAGTATATATATATTCTTGACCAGCATAAAATTCTTTGTTAATTTAATGATGTCCGTCCATCCGAACGAATTGAAATAAGTTGATAAAATTTTAATCAAATGTGTGTTTGGTCTAAAGGACTTTTGGTATTGAAAATTGACTATATAGGTCCACGTTTAGGTAAAGACCCCATATAATGGTACCTCCCTATTTTCGGTATTTTGGTAATATAAGCGACATTGTTCACCGGAAATGTTTCAAATTTGGTATTTGAAGTTCGCAATGGATACTACAGCCTATTACAGAAAATATCTTCGAAATTTTGATGATTTTAGCGTCTTTATTCACCGGATTTATTTCAAATGTGGTATTTGAAGTTCGTTATGTGTACTACAGCCTATAACAGATAATTTTCTGTGCAGGTCCACGTTTTGGTATGGCCCCCATATTTGCAAACTTTCAGAATTATCCTACTCGAAGAATTCCGTTGAATATGAATAACAATAGTTAACCAGTCGTAGTTTGTAATACCTTGGAAATGTTGGGAGTATTAAGACCAATACCAATACTAAAAAAAAAACAATTAAACACCATTCCGATTAAAATATGAATCAATTTTTTTTGAAAACTATTTACAACAAAATAATTTTAATGGACAAATGAATTGATTTCAACAATGATGTGATGAACCGAAAAAACAACAATGTAAAGACGACGAGAAGAAGATTTGAAATCTTCATAAAAACGAGAGATTTAGGCGTGAATAAGAAAACCATGACCATGTTGGGGATGGACGGGGGCCAAATGTTCCTCTTCAATGATTTTCTTCTTGGGCGTATAAGGATTGTGTTCTGGATCAGCATTCAATCTGGAATATAACAAAATTAATGTAGGCTCATTATTGAAGAGTTGGCAGACTCACTGATAGTAGTTGACAGCCTCCTCGCACTTGACATTGTACCACCAGTCACAGGCGAATTCTTTTTGATTGAAAATAGTACCATTTGTACATAAGAACGATGCTCCCTGATCTCCTTCACGGCCATCGTGACAGACGTGATAGGCTTGGCAGCCGGTCTCCACATTGGCATACATACCAGGCACGGCGGGGACATGGGCACAAGAGAAAGAGGTGTGTGGCACTTCATGATATACCGGATAGTCGACACCTGGCACACCGGGTATTTTATTTAAATCTTGTTTTTCCTCCTTATGATGGGGTGTTTCGGCGGCTGGCGGGTGGAAAAGATGTCCATAGGTCTGCAGAAAAAAAAAAAACAACAAAGAGGTGTAATACATTTTGTTACACTGATGATTTGTGGTTATTTGGGCGGAATCAATCTACTTTTGTATTTGGCCTCCTGACTGCTGTTTGTTTGCCAACAATTCAATTACAAGCGCGGTTGCGGTTTTCCACAAGTTATTTTCATTTGGAAATTGTAGCTATTGTTTGTGATACGGTCGATTGAGTTTTTCTTATCTGATGTAACAAGTATTTAAGGTTTTATTGAATACCATATTTTGTGTAATGGCATAACGCTTGTGGCATACTTTTTCGTCGATTATGGCTTGAATGATTGGTACTGTAAATCAACTATATCCGTCTACGCCGTATACAGGGTGGGTTGAATAAACTGTAACCAACTTTAGATTACTGTCATTTCTAAGCCACTCATTAAAATTATTCCAGTGACACCTCACTATATTGTTTATAAGTGTTCAAAAGAATTTTGATGAGAATTTTCCAGAAAAAAAGTTATTCGTGATGGAATTCAAGCGTGATAGTGTGATTTCTTTATATTTGGCTGGAAAACCACAAGTGGCTATCGTTAGAGCACTCCAGCATTTAAATGTGAAAAAATCTTTTGTGACTCGTATCATCGCTCGTTACCGTGATACTCGCAGCGTAGCCCGACGTCAAGGAAGTGGACGGAAGGACAGGAACATCAGCAGAAATGGTTCGAAAAGTAAAGAAGCGACTTGATCGACACCCTCGTCGCAGTGGCCGAAAAATGTCTCGTCAGCTGAACATGTCGCAATATTCCATTCGACAAATATTGAAAAATGAGCTCGGGGTAAAGCCATCGAAATTCCAAAAAGTGCAAGAACTTAAGGCTGGAAATACATAAAGCGCATATTTGGCTGACTTAAGTCATCGGCTGGCTTCTACGTAGATGAACAAAGGAGTTTTAGGTTGGCTTAGTTCGATTTTGGCTCTAGGCTCCTTTTTTCATTTCCGAAGAAGCCAGCCGATGATTTAATCCAGCCAAATAAGCGCTTTATGTATTCCCACCTTCAGACCGCAACAGAAAGAAAATAGACTCAAAACAGATAAAGAGTTGCTTCGCTTGGCCGAAAGTGGTGAACTGCTGAATTTGGGCTTTTTCCGATGAGAAAACATTCGTTGTCCAGCAGTTTGTAAACAAACAAAATAATCGCGTTTACTTGCCAAAGAAGTCAACTGAAAATGTGCACCATCGGTTAGCCACCAGAACTCAAGCGCTGGTTATGGTGATGGTGTGGGCCGCCATAACAGCCGATGGTCGCTCTCCACTCGTATTAATCGACCGTGGCATCAGAATAAATGCCGAATATTATCGCGAAAATATTTTGGAGGGTGTATTAAAGCCTTGGGCACGCAAACATTTTGGCCGCAGACCTTGGACATTCCAACAGGACACAGCAGCGCCACCCAAGAATGGTTACAAAATAAAGTTCCTCGCTTCATTTGCAGCGTATGTGGGGTATATTAAGATCGTCATTCCGTTTGTAACTCATCGAAATAATTTTAGACATAACAAAGTATATGTATTCTTGATCAGCGTAAAATTCTAAGACTATTTAGCCCTGTTGTCCTTCCGTCTGTTTTAATCACGCTAGAGTCAAAACGAACAAAAATTGGAAGCTAAGATGTTACACAGATCCGTCTTTTGTCTGCAGGCAGGTCAAGTTCGAAGATGGGCTATATCGGTCCTCGATATCGTATAGCCCCCATAAAATGGTACCCCCCGTACTACTCCTTCTGAGTACTTTACCCTCTATAAGAGTATTGTCTATATAGGTCCACGATATCGTATGTCCTTCAATAACGGTACCTCCCCATATTTGGTATTTTTCAATGAAATTATCTGAAAATAAACATAAAGAGTTTCTTCTGAGAACCTTAGCCCCTGGAAGAGTATTGTCTATATAGGTCCACATATGGTATATAACGTTACCTCCCTACATTCGTAGTTTGATGATTTTAGCTACATTTTCAATGGAATTTTCTAAAAATCCATAATAGAAGTTCTTTTCAAGCACTTTACGCCCCGGAAGAGAGATGTCTATATAGGTCTACGATATCGCATAGCCCAGATACAAAAGTACCCCCCCCCCCTATATTCGCTATTTTAACGATTTTAGGGACATTATTCACCGAAGTTGTTTCAAATTTCGTATTTAGAGTTCGTAATGGGTACTGCAGATAAAAAATTGCGTATGCAGGCCCACAACATCGTATGGCCTCCATATAAGGGTACCTCCCAATATTCGGTATTTTGATGATTTTAGCGACATTATTCACCGGAGTTGTTTCAAATTTCGTATTTAGAGTTCGTAATGGGAACTACAGTCTATGGCAGAAAATTGTCTATGCAGGTCCAGGTCTTCGTATAGGTCTCATATATCAGTACCTCCCTATATTCGGTATTTAGACGATTTTAGGTACAATATTCAACGAAATTGTTTGAAATTTCGTATTTGAAGTTCCTAATAGGCACTACAGCCGGTAATAGAAATTTGTCTGTGCAGGTCCACGTTTTGGTATAGCCCCCATATAATGGTAGCTCCCTATATTCGGTATTTTGATGATTTTAGTGACATAATTTACCGGAATTATTTTAAATTTGCTATTTGAAGTTCGTAACGGATACTACAGCCTATGCCAGAAAATAACGGTACCCCCGATATTCGGTATTTTGATGATTTTAGCGGCATTATTTACCAGAATTATTTCAAACTTTGTATTTGAAGTTCGTAACGGATACTACAGCCTATGCCAGGAAATTGTCTGAGCAGGCCCACATCTTCGTATAGCCCCCATATAACGGTACCCCCGATATTCGGCCATGTTTTATAATTTCTTATCGTAAATAATTAGAAGAGAACCCATGGCCCTATTTACTTGTTCTATGCAATGTGCTCTTAGAGGAGATTTTCACAATTTCCCATAAAATAAAATAAAATAAACCTATATATGTTGGTATACACTTGACAATAATCGAATTGACAATTGACAACAATCAATGCCTAACGGAAAACTAATCAAATTCCCATTTAAGGCATAGGCATTAAAAGACTTGTAATTCTTTTAACAAACATGGAAAGTCCGATACATAAAACAACTGACGAACACATTCACTCACACACCACCCGATAATTACGCACCTTCAAATATTGAAACTGTAACAAGTGGACCGGTTTCAAAACATGGTTAGTTTGAGCCAAAAACAAAAAGAAGTTATCAAATTGTCTTGAGAAAATCAAAACAAAAAAGAAACTGGCCGAAACGACACATTAATGCAAACCCAGTGATTGTGAATGAATGAGATAATTAAATGGATTGTTTAAAAGTAAATTCAAAAAAAAAAACACTGAAGCAAAACGAGTAGCCACCACACAACACGAAACTAAATTGTAACGAATCGAACTTAGGCTAGGAACAATTTTATAGGTCAAAAGAGATTGTTGTGAATATGAAATGAAAATGGATATTCGCAAAATTATGGGTTTCAAAATTATTGCAAAACCCAAAAAAAAAAAAAATAAATACCTACATAATAATTTGCAATTTTGTGATAAGGAAGTGATTGCCAAAAAAAGTATTTTTTGATTTTAATTAAATGTCAAATTTTACTCTTTTCTGTGGCTAAAAGAAAAAAACTTGAAACGAAAGAAGCAAATCCACTTACCTGAACTTGAATGGCATAGACAGCATAGGCCGAGACTAAACACAGACAAATTGTGGCAAGAAAACGTTGAGACTGCATCTTGAAACGACGAGAGACCTTTCAAAGATGATGATTACAACATGTAATTTTTTTTAATTTTTTTTTAAAGAAAATTTCAACCCACCTTTTTTCTAATTTGGAAATTTAGGGGGTTCAATATATGGCTTTCCTCCTTGCGTCCACTTTTGTTTAACTTCTTTTCCGTTAGACTTGAAAACTTCAACTGATTGGCCACAAACCACCAACGAACTATCCGCCAAAGTCTTTCAATGCAATCAATGTTGAGTTTATTTTTTTTTACTTTTTTTTTCAAAAAAAAAAAAAAAAAAAAAAAAAAAAAACAATGCAAAAGCTTTAAATGTTTGTAAATTGTTGTTGGCGCTTGTTACACTTAATGTTGGTCGGCATGGTATGTACTTGGTACATGAGCTGCTGCTGCTAATGGTAAAATAAACTGTGCAGCATTAGTTGAATACTTCCCGAGGTTCTTGTGTATGCTTTTTCAAGCTTCATTATGCTTTTTTGCGCGGCTGCACAGTGTTTGGAAACTGGTGAAATGGATAGGTAAACTTTATAGATTATCATTGCGATTCGGTATTCTTACCTGGCGTTTATACAAGAAATATAGTTTTGAATCTACCCGCTAGAAGGTAGCGGATGATTAACGTTTGTAACTCATCGATATAATAATTTTAGAACCAACAAAGTATATATATTCTTAATCAGCTTAAAATTCATTCGTCCATCTGTCCGTCCGACCGTCCGTCTGTTGTAATCATGCTAGAGTCAAAACAAATTAAGATAGAACGCTAAAATTTTACACAGATCAGTCTTTTGTTTGCAGGCAGGTCAAGTTCGAAGTTCGATGGGTTATATTGGTCCACAATATGGAATGGCCCCCATATAACCGTACCTCCCGATATTCGGAATTTTGATGATTTTAGGCACATTTTTCGATGGAGTTGGCTGAAATTCTACACAAGCAGTTCTTTGTGGGTACTTTACTCCTTAGAAGAAAATTATCTATATAGGTCCACGACGTCGTATATCCCCCATATAACTGTACCTCCCGACATTCGATATCCTGATGATTTTATTCACATTTTTCAAAGGCATTGTCTGAAATTCTACACGACGAGTTCTCTGTGAATATTTTACCTCCTGAAAGTTAATTTTTTATACGGTACCTCTCAATATTCGGTGATTTGAAGATTTTAGCGACATTATTCACCGGAATTGTTAAAAAATTTGGTATTTGAAGTTCGTAATGGATACTACAGCCTAAGACAGAAAATTGTCTCTGCATGTCCCGGTCTTCGTATAGGTCTCATATATCACTACCTCTCTCAAACATAGATACCATCAGTAATCTAAATGTCAAATTTCAAAATTGTATTTCTATAATTTCACCCTATACCAAATATTGTAACATTCAGTGCTTTTCGTAAATTTATAATACCCTCTATCTGTTCACATAATTCCAAATGGTACCAGTTTAGAATTTTAGTACCATTTTACAATTTTCCGTAATCTTAAAGTTCGAATTTACAAAAACCCTTTGGTTCATCCATCCTGTACTGCACCAGTGACTCATTCTAAATTTGGTAGTTCATTCCAAATTTTCTAGCCCATTCCGTTCGTGCAACTGAAAGTATTCCATTTTTGGTATATTTTAGAACTTTGGTACCCTTTTAATACGTCTTTCCAAAAACCCTGCCTTATCAAACGCCAACGCACCAAAACTGACAAAATGGCGCCCAACGTTGTTATTACAATATCATGAATGTCTTGACTCTGTATTGTCCTATCTGCATATATTTACGTCTTTGTTTATTTTGCAGGTCCTACCCTGGCAGGAAATCCCAGCCGGTTTGGTGGTATAAGGGACTTGCTCTTCTTTGGGAAACAGCAAGGAGGTCTTATAACAGAGCCAGATAAACTAAATGTCGTACAGATATAACGTCTGTAAGGCAGATTTCCATTAAAACAAGGAGATAGCCCTACCTGAAATTTTCGGATGCATTGAGAAAAAGCCCGGTCCCATCCAATATGGTTATTTTACTATTTTTTTTTGTACATTTTCCATTGTAATATTTTTTTTTTTACTATTTAGGCCCATCTTTGAAATGATTTCGAAATGCATTTCTGTGTATGTCACTGAAATTAAAAGATCTATAACTATTAAAAGTGTTTATACTTTGTGGTAAAGGTATGAGAAGAAGTGGAGAAACATATCTTCATATGAAAAATGTTAAACTTTTGGGGACAGGTAAAATCGGATGAAGATGTGTATCGAAGCTATATTAAAATCTGAACCGATCTTGATAAAATTTCACAGTATCTGATGCCCGGTATCAAATATCATTCTTATGGAGTGCATGCGTAATAGTGCGGGACTTTAACACCAAATTGGTGAAACATATACATGGGGGCTATAGCTATATCTTAAGCGATTTTCATCAAAACTTGAAGCACTTGCTTTTAGGCTGAATCCCATCGGATATGCCAGAATTCGGTCCATTTGGGCTGATATTAGCCATTTGGTGCACAAAACGTGAAATCGGATAAAGACATATGTGGGATCTATATCCAAATCTGAACCGATTTTGACAACATTTTAAACACTTATTTTTGTTTAAAATGTTTTTGTTAAAAATGGTACCAAAAATTATTGTTGTGGAGTGCTATTACGCATGTGAGGACGTAAACACGAAATCGGATGAAGCATACATATGGGAGCTATAGCTATATCTGAACCGTTTTTCACCAAATTTTATGTAATTGCTTCTGTGCTAAATTCCGTAGAAAGCGCCAAATTTCAGGCATTTGGACTGATATTGGCCATTTAGTGCACATTTCACTCGAAATCGTTTGAAGATATATATGGGAGCTATATCTAAATTTGAACCGATTCTCATTAATTTCAATATGGTTCGTACTTGGACCAATTGTATCGGGATCGGTGCAGAATTGTGCTCCAAATGACCAATATCAGTCCAAATGACCTGAATTTTGGCACATTCTATCGAATTCAGTCTAGAAGCAAGTACATTGATATAGCTTTAGCCAGATATAGCTTTAGTTCCCGTATATATTTCATCCGATTTGGTCTTTAAGTCCCTCACATTCGTAATATGCATTCGATAACAATGATATTTGGTATCATATATCTTATAGAGCTCGGAAATACCTTTGCCAAGTTTTATCGATATCGGATAAGATTTGCATATAGCTCTCACATATATATTCTTAATCCGAATTCAGGTTTATTGTGCATATAATCAGCCCAAATGAGGTGAATTTCGCGACGTAAGCTGGTGGAACTTGGCTCCGATATATATTTTTTAATATAATCCATCTCGGAGTGATATCATACACTCTATAGCAATGATATCTTCTATATCTATAAAAGAGGAAAATGTTTGTATGTTTGTTTGTTTGTTTGTTTGTAATTTATGGACTCGAAAACCGCTGAATAGATTTTCCTGAAAATTTCCATATATACTGCAACATCGCCTGAAAGTAACATAGGCTATATACATTTTTGAATTTCCACTTGGAACTGGAGATATAGCATCAGAATCGGAGGTACCTCCCAAAAATTTAGATTTTATATGCACATATCTATTGATTGGTTGAAGATACAGTCTCCAAATTTGGAATACGTAACGGAATTTGGAACAAAAATAAGTTTGCCAAATTATATTGTAATCGGTTCAGATTTAGATATAGCTCCCATATATATTTTCGACCGATTTCGTTCATTTGATGCCTCAAACACAATATGAATGTTCGATTCCAATGAAATTTGGAATGTGTGACGGGATTTAACCCGAAAATTAATTTGTCAAATTATATTGAAATCTGTTCAGATTTGGATAAAGCTCCCATATATATTTTCGGCCGATTTCAAGCATTTGATGCACCAAACACGCTATGTATCCCCAATTTCAATGAAATTTGAAACGTGTGGTAGATTTTATCTAAAAAATTGATTTCCCAAATTATATTGAAATCGGTTCAGATTTGGATATAGCTCCCATATACATTTTCGGCCGATTTCATGTATTTGGTGGACCAAACACGACATGTATTTCCAATTGTAATGAAATTTAAAATAAGTAACGGAATTGGGAGCCAAAATGAATTTCTCAAATTAAATATATGGATATGGATGGATATAGCTCCCATATATATTTTCGACCGATTTCATGTATTTGATGCACCAAACACGCTATGTATCTCTAATTTCAATGAAATTTGGAATGTGTAGCGGAAATTAAAACAAATATACATTTGTCAAATTATATTAAAATCGTTTCAGATTTGGATATAGCTCTCATATATATTTTCGACCGATTTCATGTATTTTATGCACCATATACGATATGTATGTTCGATTCCAAAGAAATTTGGAATATGTAACGGGATTTTGATTAGAACATAAATTAGTCAAATTATATTAAAATCGGTTCAGATTTGGATATAGCTCCCATATATATTTTCCGCCGATTTCACATATTTGATGCACAAAACACGATACGTATTTCCGATTCCAACGAAATTCGGCATGAGTGGCTAAAATTGGTACAAAAATAAATTTGACAAATTATATTCAAATACGCTCAGATGTGATTATAGCTCCCATTTATATACTCAGCCGATTTCACATATTTTATGCACCCAAAGCGAGAGAGACAAAATCTGGCACCAGAAAAAATTGCCAAATTATATTGAAATCAGTTGAGGTTTGGATATAGCTAACATATATATTTCGGCCGATTTCATACATATTATGCACCAAACACGATATATATGACCGATTCCAATGAAATTCAGAAAGTGTGGCGGAATTTGGTTACAATAATAAATGTGACAAATTAATTGGAAATTAGTTAAGATTTGGATATAGCTCCCATATATATATTCTCGGCCGATTTCACATATTTGACGCACCAATTTCAATGAAATATGAAAGGTGTGGCGGAGTTTGGTGTAAAAGTAATTTTTTTAAAATTATATTTAAATCGGATCAGATTGGGATATGATTTTAATAAGAACCATTGACCCACAACGCCTTAGGCTAACACTAAAAAAGAACACAACAATTTATTTGAAATACGCTTATTACGGCGAAGTATGTTGCTATCTCGAATTCACTAATTGCAATAGAAATGCCACTCTACTTAAAAAAAATTGCAGTTTCCTGCACGCTTGGTATTTGCTATGAAATAAATAAATCCAAAGGACAAATCCTTCGTGTATGCATGTCATGTTACTGCTTTTGTAATGATTTTGTTTATTAACGCATTAAATTAGTGCAATATATTTTTTTTAATTTTTAAATTTGTTTTTCTTTATCCAACATATGTTCGTAAATAAAATTTTGAATGCATATAAAATCAACAGGGGTAGCGAGGCGCACCGGGTTCAGCTAGTTTGGTATAAAAGATAAAAATATCTTCCAAATATAAGTTCCCTCTGGAACCAAATTGTAACTGCTCTATAGCCAAATGTTGATAGGTGGTATGATCTAATTCAAATAAATTCGGGAGCTCTACTAAATATGCCCGACTTTAGACTTTTTCTTACTGGTTTACTGTGTACTGGGACTGTGTTCCGTAATAAAATAATATCCGAATCTGAACCGGATTCAATACAATTTGACGAATTTATTTGTAGACCAAATTCTATCACAAATTCCAAACCTCTACAGATTTCAATATAATATAAACATTTTTGTCCTATCACATAATACATACCCCATATCGGACCCGCCCGACTTTTTCTTACTGGTTTACTGTGTACTGGGACTGTGTTCCGTAATAAAATAATATCCGAATCTGAACCGGTTTCAATACAATTTGACGAATTTATTTGTAGACCAAACATTTTTGTCCTATCACATGATACATATACATACATATATATATATATATATATATATATATATATATATATATATATATATATATATATATATATATATATATATATATATATATATATATATATATATATATATATATATATATATATATATATATATATATATATATATATATATATATACGTTAATAATAATAATTTATTTGTAGACCAAACATTTTTGTCCTATCACATGATACATATATACATACATACATATATATATATATATATATATATATATATATATATATATATATATATATATATATATATATATATATATATACGTTAATATTATCAAAAGGGTACTCTTGAATATAAGAAATTATCGAAATTGTCCTGCCTTGGATGAAAAGCTTGAGGGTATAAAACAGATATGAAAAAGCTTTTTAATGTACAAATTATGTTGTGTACCCTAAGTCATACGTCACATTTACCACTCCCCCATTAACATTATGATTTTCTGTTGTGGGCATACAACTAAATCTGGCAGTAACATACATGTTGTTTTTGTACATTTGGGCAGTTGCTGTGCGGCTTGGCTATTGTTGGACTTTTACTTTCATTGGTTTGTATTTTTATTTTTGAGGGTTTTTGAGTTTTTTGTTTGCTTGTCTTTTTGCATTTGTTTTTTTTTTTTTGTTGTTTAGTTTTATTGCATCTATGCCATTAGTCTGTTGTTTGTTTTCTGTGTGCTACTCTACAAGCATGACGAATGTAATCCATTTACTGAATTACGTGATTATCATTCAACACAGACATGTCGGCTAGCTTCCTATCAAAATTTTTATTGATAGGCATTTGGAATCTTCAGTTTAATAACAAATTGAGATGTTTAAGAAAAGGGGAAAACAAAAATGTTTAGTTGGCAACAACGACAATCGAATAACCTACACCGGAATATACAAATCAAATGCAATATGAAACTCAAACTATAGACATTTATTCTAATGTATTGGATGGGGAAATAGTTTGATAAGTTTCTTGTGATCCTGGGTCAGAATGGAAGCATATTGTTGTTGGACATGATCCCAAAATATTTTTAGTGGTGAAAATTTACCAAAAACAGAAAAATTTCCTGATTTGGCTCTAGTTGCTCTAGAGAACACAAGTGTAGACCAATCGTCTCGTAATTTGGCGTGGGGCTAGAGTTTAGGGTGAACAGAAGCCAACTGGACCATAACCTGATTGACCATAACATTTATGAAAAAACGAATTAATCTGCGAATATTTTTAATCCCGGCTTTTAATCATTACAGTGATACTGATAGCCAAGACTTCGGATATATAACAAATAGGTACAATCTACATGTTAAAGACTGACACTTGCCAGCAAAGGATAAAATCTAAGAAAATCGCGTAGAAGTGTTCCAATAAAATAGTGAATATGGCTACAGAGGGTATATATCATTTAATACGGCCAAAACATGCCTCATCGCAATAACGGTTTTAGACACTAGGTCTCTTTGGACCAAATCCATTTCAGGACATTTGGAGTCGATCTAGCGATGTCTGTGTGTTTGTCTGTCTGATTGGCTGATGCGTACGATAATTCTTGAATGGCCAATTTTGGTATATAGGAATATTGTTATCAAACTTAGATCGAGTTCGGAGATGGAAAATATCGGTCCACTTCTTTTGGTCGAAATTTTCAAAAAAAAAAAAAAAAAAAAAATGTATATATATTTTACTGTACAGAAAGAGAAAGAATAATCTAATTTTACTTCAAATTTGCAAATCTTAGTATTTGCATCAATGCTAGGTCAGAACCTCCCCACAAAGCGTCAAAATTTTGAATAATTAGAACTCTTACAAAATGTGATGTAAGAGTCGGATTGTCTTCAAATTACGCACATTATAATATTTTCATTAACTCAAAGCCTGGTGTGAAGATGGAATATATCGGCCCACTCCTTCTGGTATCTCCCCCACAAAGGTCAAAATTTTGAAGCTCATAAAACGCGAAATTAATATTCGATTCCATTCAGACTTGGCACATCTCAATATTTCCATCAACACAAGATCTGTTATAAAGATGGTAGAGAACGGATCATTCCTTCTGGTACCTCCCCCACAAAGGGTAAAAATTTTGAATATTTATGAAACTCATAAATCGCGAACTTAACATCCGATTCCATTCAGACTTGGCACATCTTAATATTTCTATCAACACAAGATCTGTTATAAAGGTGGTAGAGATCAGACCATTTTCTCTGGTACCTCCCCCACATAGGGTTCAAGATTTTGAAAAACAAAAGGCTCTAAAAATTATCACATATCTCATATACCCACTCCATAGAGGGTCAAAAATTTGAATAATCATAACAGAAATCAAAATATATATATATTTAATTTAAACTTGTTTTACTGCTAACCTAGCACCATACCAAAGGCGTGGTGGGTCTATGTTCCTTAATAAGTAAATATACGCATCTGAATCGGTTATAATATAATTTATAGTTTATTTGTAGACCAAATTCCGTCACAAATTCCAAATTTCATTAGCGATACATAACGAGTTTGGTGCATCAAATACATGAAATCAGCAGAAAATGTATATAGGAGCTATATCTAAATCTGAACCGATTTCAACATAATATGACAAATTCATTTTTGTACCAAATTCCGGTATTCATTTCGAATTTTATTTGAATCGGACATATATAGCGTGTTTGGCGCATGAAATCGGACGAAAACATATATGGGAGGTATATCCAAATCTGAGCCGATTTCAATATAATTTGGCAAGTTTATTATTGTTCGGAGGGTCGTTAAACAATCCAAATTTGAAGACTGTATCTAGAACCGACAAAATCTAAATTTTTTGGAGGTACCTCCGATTCTGATGTTACATCTCCAGTTCCAAGTGGGATTGCAAAAATTGTATATAGCCTATAATACTTTCAGGCGATGCTGCAGTATATTTAAAACTTTTCAGGGATATCTGTTTAGCAGTTTTTGAGTCTATAATTAACAAACAATCAAACGTACAAACATTTTCCTCTTGTATAGATATGTATATATGTTTAAAACGCCATCTATACTACAATTTTATATTGCATTATAAACACTGCGTGCTTTGGCCGGTAAATAGTAACATAATATAAAAAAATAAGTCCCAACTAAATGAGAAATGTAAATAATACACTTAAAATGTATTTAAAAAAAATACTTCTCTATGTAAATTTATTTTCAAATTTTCAATATTGATATACAAAAGGTATAGAAATTGTTTGCTTAGAAACTAAATTATAAAATAATAAAAAATATACAAAACTAATAATATTCTATCTAATACGTTAAGACATGATGATGCTGTCGCTGTTGTCCATTGGTGTTGATCCTGGAATATGATTGAGATTTCTTGGCATTACCGTCATTTACATCGAATTGATTAAATAATTCATCAAAATCATTGAATAGCTGCAAGAAGAATTAAAAAAGTATTGGTAAATTAATTATTTATTCTTTTACATCTGACATTTAGGACGCCATCTATATTTAAATGTTGTTAGTGGTAAATTTTGGGCAGTGCATAATTTTAGGCGCAAACGGTTACGAAACATCAAAAGGCAAATTTTAAAGTATGAAGAGTGGCACATATCCGTTTGACGGAGAAAGGTGTAAGAGGAATGTAAAGGGGGAAATTAGTTCGTATTAACAGTTAGTGGTGCTTTAAGGAGCTTCCAACCATTTGTAAACTTAGATATATCACTATGCTATATAAAGTATATTATATATTCTATATATATATATAAAATGAAATACGAAACAGCTGAAGTTAGAATCTTGAGAATTTTGCACGAGCGTTAGTCTTGGTGCGTAGGCGTGTGATATTGATATTCACACAAAAACGATACGGAAAGTACTAAAATGTACTAAAAAATTAATACTTTGTATTGGACTGAGCTAGAAGCTGAAACTTGGAATGATAGATGACTGATGATAGGTTTTTGGAAATTCGAACATTAAGGTTACGAAAAGTTCTAAAATGGTACTAAACTTCTAAAATGATACCATTTGGTATTATGAAACTTGATATGATAATCAAGGTTGGAAAGTGTGTTTGATACATGAAGGTGGTTTTTAGAAATGTGTACTAAGTGTACTAAATGGTACTAAATTTGGGATTTTGAAAAAAAATGTTGGGATCCCCGTTTGATAAAGAGTGGTGTTTTTAAATGTGTACTACAAGTGCACGAAAAGTACTAAATAGTTCTTTATTTGGTATAATTTGATATTGGGTGAAAAGATAGTTCTTGAAATCCTATATTTGGTATTAGATTCGCTGTTTATGGGTAGCCTGAACATATGGAGGTGGTTTCGAAAATGTGTACTATAATTGTTCGAAAAGTACTATGTGGTACTAAATTTGGTACTGGGTGAAGGGATAGAGGTAAAATTCTGAAAATTGATATTTAGATTAATGATGATATCTGTGTTTGAGATTTGGAAATGCGTACTATATTCGTACGAAAAGTACTAAACGGTACTAAATTTAGTATTGAGTTAAGGGACAGAGGTGGAATCCTCAAATTTGCTATTGAGGTCTCTGTTGGTATGTGGAATTGGGATATGGAGGCTGTTTTCGAAATGTGTACTATAATTGTACGAAAAGTACTAAATTTGTTATTGTGTGAAGGGATAGAGCTGGAATCCTGAAATTTGATATGGATGTTACTGTCAGTGTCTGTGATTGAGAAAAAGAGCTAGTTTTGCATATACGTGCTATAATTGTACTATGAGATACAAAATTTGGTAATAAGGGAAATTTCAGAGTTGTTAAGGTCTCTGTTCTTAAGTTCTTTCATTTGGAAGTCTAAAACTATTTTAACGTCTACATGTGAAAATCTAGAAACCAACAGTGACCTCAAAATTAAATTCCAAATTCCAGCTATACTCCTTCACCAAATACTAAATTTAGTACCATTTAGACAAATTTAGTTCCTAGACACCAACAGTGATCTAGTTGGGAAAGATGTTAATAAAAACTAACATTATGGTTAATAGCAGGAGAGTTAAAACGTGTTGACAGATAGAACATGAAGCCTTTTCAGTTTAGGTTTATAAAGTACCAGTTTTATAGCTAATAAGAGTCAGATGAGGTAAATTTATAACAAAACGAGACAACAACAAGTAAAAAAGCAGTAAGTTCGAGCGGGCCGAACTTTGAATACCCTCCACCATTTGGAACGAATTAGAAAATTTTCAAAAAAATAAAATCCAATAAAAATTCTTTTAAAATCTTTAAAATATCTAATATACGAAGGTGCCGATATATGGGGGGATATACGATATTGTGGACCTATAAAGACAAATCTATGTCTGCGTGTAAAGTACTCACAAGGAACTCCGTGTGTGGATTTTCAGACAATACGATTGGAAAATGTGGCTAAAATCATCAAAATACCGAATACCGCGGGGGTACCGTTATATGGGAGCTATACGTTATCGTTAACCTATATAGAGAATTCTCTGTCGGTGGGTAAAGTGCTCACAAAGAACCCCTTGTGTACAAAGAACCCCTTGTGACCATACCGTTGAAAAATATGGCTAAAAACATCAAAATACCGAATATCGGGGGTACCGTTATATGAGGACTATACAATTTCGTGGATCTATATGGATTATTCTCTGCCGAGGTATAAAGTACCCACAAGGAACTCCTTGTGTGGATTTTCAGACAATTCCGATGAAAAATGTGGGTCAAATCATAAAATACCGAATATCGGGAGGTACCGTTATATGGGGGATATTCGATATCGTGGACCTGTATAGACAATTCTCTCTCAGGGGGTGAAGTACTCACAAGGAACTACTTGTGTTGATTTTAAGACAATTCCATTGAAAAGCGTGGCTAACATCATCAAAATACCGAATATCGGAGGTTACAGTTATATGGGGGATATACGATATCGTGGACCTATATAGACACTTCATTTTGAGGAGGTAAAATGCCCACAAGGGACTCCTTTTGTGGATTTTCAGACAATTCCGTTGAAAAATGTGGGTAAAATCATCAAAATACCAAATATCGGGGGTACCGTTATATAGGGGCTATACGATATTGTGGACCTATATAGATAATTCTCTGCCGAGGTATAAAGTACCCACAAGAAACTCCTTGTGTGGATTTTCAGACAATTCCGTTGAAAAATGTGGGTAAAATCATCAAAATACCGAATATTGGGGGGGTACTGTTATATGGGGGCTATACGATATTGTGGACCTATATAGATAATTCTCTGCCGAGGTATAAAGTACCCACAAGAAACTCCTTGTGTGGATTTTCAGACAATTCCGTTGAAAAATGTGGGAAAATCATCAAAATACCGAATATCGGGGGGTACTGTTATATGGGGGCTATACGATATTGTGGACCTATATAGATAATTCTCTGCCGAGGTATAAAGTACCCACAAGGAACTCCTTGTGTGGATTTTCAGACAATTCCGTTGAAAAATGTGCGTAAAATCATCAAAATACCGAATATCGGGGGGTACCGTTATATGGGGGCTATACGATATTGTGGACCTATATAGATAATTCTCTGCCGAGGTATAAAGTACCCACAAGGAACTCCTTGTGTGGATTTTCAGACAATTCCGTTCAAAAATGTGGGTAAAATCTTCAAAATACCGAATATCGGGGGGTACCGTTACATGGGGGCTATACGATATCGTGGACCTATATGAACAATTCTCTGCCGAGGTATAAAGTACCCAAAAAGAACTCCTTGTGTGGATTTTCAGACAATTCCGTTGAAAAATGTGGGTAAAATCATCAAAATACTGAATATCGGGGGGTACCGTTATATGGGGGCTATACGATATCGTGGACCGATATAGCCCATCTTCGAACTTGACCTCCCTGCAGACAAAAGAGAGATCTGTGCATAATTTTAGCTTCCTATCTTAATTCGTTTAGACTGTAGCGTGATTACAACAGACGGACAGACGGACGGACAGGGCTAAATCGTCTTAGAATTTTACGCTGATCAAGTATATATACTTTGTTGGGTCTAAAATGATTATTTCGATGAGTTACAAACGGAATGACGAACTTAATATACCCTCCATACCTTTTTTGGTGGAGGGTATAACAAATGTAGAACCCTCAGCCGACAGAATAATTTTGGAAGAATTTTTTCATATATCTATGTTTAATTACATTCAAGTTCGTACGCTGTCTAGCTTACATGACTCTGACTGGTCAACGTATAATCGGGTAAATAATTTTTAGGTCCTCCACCGCTGACACCCTGTTGTTGTACCAGCGATACCTTTGCTCCAGCCAACGGCGTTAATGGTGAATTCAAAATGTTCACATTTTGATAGGATTTGGCCTTAGCCAGGGGCTTGTTGCCACCGAACGGTGAGACATTTTGAAATTGGGCTGCAAACGAAAATTTCAATACAAACTATTCGTAATTTTCTCAAAACAACAAAACCTGAAAACACTCACATTTATCCTTGGGTTGGAATTTCACTTGATTCAGTAGTGGATTGTGAATGCGAAACGGACTGTAGACGGGCAGAGTTACACCGTCGTGTGACAATGTCGTCTTTTGTCCATGTATTTGTGGATACAAATAGGTGGTCTCAATCGATGGTAATTCTTGATAATGATAACGTCCCTCCTGCGGTATATACCGGCCGTCCGAGCTCAAGGCAATGCGAAATACATTGCGCGAGGGACGATTGAAGAAGGGATAGACCTGGAAAGGGAAATTTAAATGTTATATTCATATTGATATAAACTTGTTAATTTTGTTTACTTGAGGATTACGCTGTTCTGGTAGAATGCCATCCGGTACTGCAATGCCATCCTTTTGTAACTGATTCAGAAATAACCGATCTGTCTCGAACGCTGTATCGGGTATCCTGCCACCGGCATGTGGTAAAACCTGCTCACGATAGATTTGTCGTTTCTGTAAGAAATGTAATACAACAAAGGGAGAAATGTAATGCCAAATTAAAAAGTTTATAATTTTTTAGATCTTTGGCTTTAAGAAATTCAGTCAAAAAACGGAATGTACATTTATATCATATATACCAAAACGAGGGCCTCTAAAGTCCTACAAGTTTATGTAGGGAAGTTCATAAAATATACATGATGATAAGTGAGGCAGCCTTCTCTTTAGTTGAGAGAGTAATTTTGACACTTGAAGTACTGAGAGTTTGAAGTTACTGACAATAATTTAAATATTTTAATCAATATTTGGACAATAAGCAACTTTATTATATCACCAAAGAATTATTTTTTTCAAATAAAAATTATAATTTTGATTAGATTTACTCAAAATTTTACAAAAGAATTATTGTCTTGCTAGATTTCATACCATGTTCTCATTAGCAATTAACACTTTATCGGTCGGAAATGGACATTCTGCTAATGCAGAATTACATGAGTCGGTTTGTAAAACAATTTTTATAATTATATAATTTTATAATAATAATAATATAATACTTCTATATCTATAAAAAGAGGAAAATGTTTGTATGTTTGTTTGTTTGTAATTTATGGACTCGAAAACCGCTCCACAGACTTTCCTGAAAATTTCCAAGTGTACTAAAACATCGCCTGAAAGTAACATAGGCTATATAAATTTTTGAAATTCCACTTGGAACTGGAGATATAGCATCAGAATCGGAGGTACCTCCGAAAAATTTAGATTTTATATGCACATATCTATTGATCGATTACATATAAAGTTTCAAAATTTGGAATGCGTAACGGAATTTGGAACAAAAATAAATTTTCCTAAATAGTCCAGACACAATAGTCCAAGGGATTGGTATCCGGAGATTTTGGTGGCCATTGTGTGCTGGAAATAAAGCGAGGAACTTCACTTTGTAACCATTCTTGGATGGCGCGTCCTGAGTGCGATGCTGCTGAGTCCTGTTGGAATGTCCAAGATCTGCGGCCAAAATGTTTGCGTGCCCAAGACTTTAATACACCCTCCAGAATATTTTCGCGATAATATTCGGCATTTATTCTGATGCAACGGTCGATTACGATACGAGCGGAGAGCGACCATCGGCTGTTATGGCGGCCCACACCATCACCATGGCCGGCGCTTGAGTTCTGGTGGCCAACCGAAGATGCACATTTTCAGCTGACCTCTTTGGCAAGTAAACACGATCATTTTGTTTGTTTACAAACTGCTGGACAACGAATGTTTTCTCATCGGAGACGGAGAAAACCAAATTCGGCAGTTCACCACTTTCAGCCAAGCGAAGAAACTCTTTAGCTCTTTTGAGTATATTTTCTTTCTGCTGCGGTGTAAGTTCTTGCACTTTTTGGAATTTCAATGGCTTTACCCCGAGCTCATTTTTCAATATTTGCCGAATGGAATATTGCGATATGTTCAGCTCACGAGCCATTTTTCGGCCTCTGCGACACGGGTTTCAATCAAGTCGCTTCTTTACTGTTTTTTTTGCTGTTTTCTTTCGTCCACTTCCTTGACGTCGGGCTACGCTACCAGTATCAGTATCACGGTAACGAGCGATGGTACGTGAAACAGAAGATTTATTCACATTTAAATGCTGGAGTGCTCTAGCGATAGCCACTTCTGGTTTTTCAGCCATATATAAAGAAATCCCATTCTAGGTCCATGTTTTCGTATAGCCCCCATATGACGGTACTTCCCGATATTCGCTACATTTTTCACGGAATTGTCTAAAAATTGGTATATATAGGTCATAATAGGTTCCAGGTCCGGTGACGGAACATTGTATGTCTAGGTCCATGTTTACGCGTAGCCCCCATATAAAAGTACCTCCAATAATCGGTATTTTGATGATTTTTGCCACATTTTTCCACGGACTTGTCTAAAGATTGGTTTGTCCATATAGGAAATCTTTTTAGTATTCAATTACTGAATTCAGATACTTTTATATATTTTTTTTTTACCCAATGGTGAAGGGTATTAAAAGTTTGGCCCGGCCGAATTTAATGTTTTATTCTATCTGAATTTCTTCACCTTTGCCTTGGAAATCAACATCCGTTCATTTGCCAATTCTTCTAGTTTTTTTTTTCTTTTTTTTTTGTGAAACCCATACTTTACGACACTTGTCAAGAATGTTTTTGATGTGGTTCTAAGACCACACATCTTTGGTGTCTTTTTCTACCATTAACCAAACAAATGTCTTGCAAAATAAAATATATTGAATAAAAAAGCCACAATTGGTTCAAAACTTAAAGTACATACATTGATACATATTGCATTACATGACAACGAAATACTCGAGGTAAATTGTTGTTTGTAATAACAAATATTTCAAAAATTTGGTGTATTGTATTGGTGAAAATGTGAATATTGTTTATTGGATTTATTAAGACCAGTGGATATAAGTAAAATCCATTTTGAGGAAGCATCCATTGAAGTCGGACTTCTACGATCAAATCGAAGTGCTATTTTCCACTTTTGAGGAATTCCCAACACAAAAATTACAAATACAAACATTAGAGCAAATCCCTGGAATGCTAAGTGAAAAAGTTTTGGCAAAACAGCATTCCTATTCGACTATCGCAACAAATTTCGTTTAATGTTATGGGAAATATTTTTCAAGGTACAATATTTAAGCTCTGATTAATTTCATGTATAATTCACAAATTAATTCGTATTTTGAAACATTTCAATTGTAATTCACTATTTTTTTTTAAATTCGAATTATTTTGTTGTTGCAAAATGGTCAGGCTTTACCCCTTTATTGTTGTTTTTATAAAAACAACGTTTGCTTATTAGTGGAGAACGATGGCAATGTTTACCAGGGGGTAAGGCAGGGAATACCTAGGTTTCGGAAAGAGCCACCAATCCTCATCAGTTCCCTTGTTTTTGTCTGGGATATTCTCCCCAGAAGTTATTTTAAGATTTAGAAGACTTTCCAAAAGAATTTTAGTTTTATTTAATTCTTTGGGGAGAATATCCCAGGCAAACAACAAGGGAACTGATGAGGATTGGCGGCTATTTCCGAAACCTAGGTATTCCCTGCCTTACCCCCTGGTAAACATTACCATCGTTCTCCACTAATAAACAAACGTTGTTGTTATAAAAACAACAATAAAGGGATAAAGCCTGACCATTTTGCAACAACAAAATACTACGGTATCCCGAAAAAACCCGACACTGTTCTATTCGAATTATTTTATTTCTAATTTGAAAATAATTTAATATGACTTAAGTTCGGCCCTGCTGAACTTTTAATTCATTTCTACATAAGGCAAATAACGCCTTTAATAGTAAAACCATCCGAATTCAATATTCGAACAAGTTCAACTATGTAAAACTAGAATATAGGAAAACGTGGACGTGGGTTTGGAAATGCGTTCAGCAAGGGTACGAAAGGTACTTATTTTGGTATTGCGTGAACGGATACAGAAATTTGGTATTAGGGCCTCTGTTCATGGTTTGCCTGGGCATGTGGAGGTTGTTTCGGAAATGTACGAAAAGAGATGTAATGTATAGAGATGGAATTTTGAAATATGATGCAGATGTAACTGTTGGTGTATGTGGTTAAGATATGTAGGTGGTTTTGGAAATGTGTCCTATATTTGTACAAAAAGTACCAAATTGTACTAAATTTGGTATTGGGTGAAGGGATAGGACTGGAATCCCGTAATTTGATATTAGATAGTGTAGTCTAGTGTAGAGATGTAATTTATGTTTTGCAAATACGTACTGTAATTGATGGAAAAGTACTAAATAGTACTACATTTGGTGTTAGGTGGAGGGATGGAGCTGAGCGAGCTATAGTGGACCGATGTGTGTTGGTATAAATATTGAAATATGTGAAATTTGATGAGAATAGGATGCTTATTTCGCATTTATGACAGAAATACTTATTCAAAATTTTGATCTGTCGTGGGGGAGGTACAGACCATTTTTACACCAGATTTTGTGTTTAAAAATTTTGGGATGAACTTTTAAGAGAATCGGACTCTTATTTCACATTTTAAAAGAGTTATAATAATATTACAAATTTTGACCCTTTGTGGGGGAGGTACTTGATGGAATCAGTTGATATTGTCCATTTTCGCACCAGATGTATCACTGATAAAAATATGGGAATTCGCCAGGTTCGAACAAAATCGGTTGAGCCTTTCTTTTTTTATGAGGCAAATTATTTTCTTTGAAAATTTTGACCTAACTCTAACTTCGATATACCAAGTTTGGACCAAATCGGATACTCCCTTCGAGAGTTTTCGTGCGCACCAGACAGACAGGCGTCGACTCCAAATGTCCTGAAACGGATTTGGTCCATAAAGACTTAGGTGCATTTTGAGTGCTAAGAACGCCTAACATGAACTGTTGAAACGAATCTAAGATTTGAAGGACGAAGAAGCGGGCATTTGCTAGTAAATATATAATTCCCTTTACATAGTGTGGTGTTTTTATATTTCGTGATATGGACCATACCTTGGTCCATATCACCATCTAAATATTATCCGATAACAGTGCAAAATTATAGATTTCGGTGCTTCAATTCCACGTAAAATTCTGCTATAATGACATAATTAAGAAAAAATCTGTTTTGTCACCATTTCCTCCCCTAAGAATTTTGCGATGCGAAACAGACATGCAAATTGGATGGGCACATAGTTAGATCATGGTGGGTCTAGGTTGGCTCAATATTTCGAGGTGTTACAAACTTTTTGGCCCAATCACAACATAGTTTTGAAGCACTCAAAGAGTACCAGGAAAATGGGTTATTTGCTAGTTAAACAGCTGATTTTATCTCACGCCTCCATTTTAAGCGGAAGATTTCGACAATGCCATTTTATTTCTATATTCGGTCGATGTACAAAAATATGATGACATTACTGCAGCCCTCGGGTCATATTATACTTTCCATGCAAAAAACTGTAGAAAAAAACTTGCTGCCCAATGAAAAGACTTAAGAAACGAGCGCATTCACCTTTAAAACGAAAGACTTAAGACACGAACATTATAACATCTAAACTTCCATGGTAAACTTTTAATTATTCTATTTAACGTGAAACTATCGCATGTCGCCTTTAATTTTAACCAGTAAAGAAAGTCCTAAAGTCGGGCGGGACCGACTTTATGATACCCTACACCACTTTGCTAATTTAGTAGAGTTCCACATAACAATTTAAAGTTTTTATTTATAGTTCAAAGGACTAAATATGCCGAAGAATTTGTATCTTTTAAATTCGGACTTGTATTGCCCATTTGGTGCAAAAGTAATTTGAAATCAGATAAAGATATATGTGGGAGCTATATCCAAATCTGAACCGATCTCGATAAAATTTGGCAAAGATATTTCTGAGCTGTATTTGATATATTGTTCCCTGAATATCGTTGTTACGGAGTGCATATTACGGCTGTGGGTAACAAATACAACAGATCGGATGAACAAAATATATTGGAGCTATACCTATATCTGAACCGATTTTGATCAAATTTGGCATACTTATTTTCAGTCCTAATCTGCTTGTATGTGCAAAATTCCATACTATTCGGGCTGATATTACACGTTTGGTGGTGGCAAATCTGACGAAGATATATATGGGAGCTATATCTAAATTTTTACCGATTATCTCCAATTTCAATAGGGTTCGTCCTTGGGCCAAACAAATGTTGTTTGGAAAATTTCATCCAAATCGGATAATAAATGCGACCTGCATTTTGTTCACAAATATACATGGACGGAAGGACGGACGGACAGACGGACAGACGGACTGACATGCATAAATCAACTCAGAAAGTGATTCTATGGAGATCCTCAAAAGTAACTATGGGTCTATCCCGCTTCCTTCTCCGTGTTACAAACAAATGCACGAAGACATAATACCCTTACCACTATGTGGTGTAGGGTATAATAAAATCCACCAATTTTTAAACAAAAACAAATATAAACATTTACTGTGAGGTGTCAAAACAAAACAAAAAGATAAATACCTAAATTTGTAAAACAATTTCCAAATTAATTAACAAATAAAAATTCACTTACTTTGGGATTGTGTTCCACAGCGGCGCCATGTGTCGATGTTGCTGCTGCTGCCAATAAAGTGATGATCGCCAACAATTTAAAAAGATAAGACAACATTTTCGAAATAGTTTCTTGTTGTGGATGCGGCGGTATTCGCTTAACGAATAAATGATTGAAATAAAATACAAAATTATTAATTTATTTATGTTTTGTGTTGTTTTTGTTTGTGTTTTCAATTGCACTTTAATTTTTGATTTGACATTTGTTCAATGTGAAAAAGATTGAAACCGAATTCACTACTAATTAACAATGGCAATAATTCCAATTCCAATAACAATGACAAGGTGTTGGAGATGCTAAAAACGCAGATAGAAAAATGATAAAATACTGCTGCTGCTGGAGGTGATCTTCTTGTAATTGTCCATGTGTGTGTGCGCGTGTATGTCTTTCGATAAATATTGCTGGATCACTTGGTAGTTAGTTCGAAGGTGGCAGGTGCTATTGAGTCCCACTTTTTATTTCATTACAAGATCAATAATAATCCACTTAATATGTCTCTGTGTGTGTTTATATTTTTGTTAATTCCCGACAATTAGCGTATAATCATGGCGTTTTAGTAATCCTCGGCTTAGTTTGGGTATGACCAATTCATGCAAATATCTTGAGCGAGTGAATAGATGGATGGAAATCACCTTTGTTTACAATAAATCTCTTATGCTTTTCTTTATATTTTTTTCCTTATTTGTTTTTTTTTTCTTTTTATACCCTCCACCATTTTATGAAGGCTATATTAGCTTTGTTATTCCGTTTGTAACTCCTCGAAATATTCATGACAGACACTACAAAATAATCAGGGATAGAAGAAAACGCATGTGTAAGTTCCAAGTAAGCAGTTTCAGTTCGTAAATGGGTCATCTCGGTCTACGTTTTCGTATAGCCCCTATACAGGGGGAGATAAAAAAACGGCAACAAAGTCAAACGAGATAATTTTTATACCCTCCACCATAGTATGGAGGGTATATTAAGGTTGTCATTCCGTTTGTAACACCTCGAAATATACCATTTAGACCCCACAAAGTATATATATTCTTGATCAGCATAAAATTCTATGTCGATTTATCAATGTCCGTCAGACTGTCCGTCTGTGGAAATCACTCTAGCTTCCGAACGAAATGAAGTAGGCTGTTAAAATTCAAATCAAATGTGTATTATGTCTGCAGAATTTTTGGTATTGAAAATGGGCCATATAGGCCCACGTCTTCGTATAGCCCTCATATAACGGTACCTCCCGATATTGGGTATTTTGATGATTTTAGCGACATTATTTACCGGAATTGTTTCAAATTTCGCATTTGAAGTTCGTAATGGATACTACAGCCTATGACAGAAAATTGTCTGTACAGGTCCACGTTTTATAATCCCCATGGTACCTCCCTATATTCGGTATTTTTATGATTTTAGCTACATTATAAACAGATTTTTTTCAGTTTCGCATTTAAATATTGTAATAACTTGTGACAAAACTCGTCTATGAAAATTGCCAAATTTGTACCAAACGGTGGAGGGTATTCAAAGTTCGGCACGGCCGGACTTACAGCTTTTTTCTTCTTTCATTTTGTTTTTAAATTTTATGGAATGGAAGCAAAAAATGTCGGAAATAGCTTTGGACTTAGTTCAACTTTGGCATGAATTATGGCCTTCAAACGGCCAATGAAACCGTTATACGCTGCCCGAATGTTGCTCTGCGGTATTTTGGCACATTCCCGGCGAAGCGCATGCTTGAGGTGATCGACACTTTGGTATTTTTTAAGGCCAACCTTGCTTTCCAAAATATTCCAGACACAATAGTCCAACGGATTGGTATCCGGAGATTTTGGTGGCCATTGTGCGCTGGAAATGAAGTGAGGAACCATGTAACCATTCTTGGGTGGCGCGTGCGATGGTGCTGAGACCTGTTGGAATGTCCAAGGTCTGTGGCCAAAATGTTTGCGTGTCCAAGGCTTTAGTACATCCTCCAGAATATTTTCGCGATAATATTTAACATTTATTCTATTTTCTTTCTGTTGCGGCGTAAGTTCTTCCCCTTTTTGATATTACAATGGCTTTATCCCGTGCTAATTTTTTAATATTTGCCGAATGGAATATTACGGAAGTTGGTTGCAGATTTTTCATCTCACCCGATATTCGCTATTTTGATGATTTTAGAGACATCATTTATTCGCATTGTTTCCAATTTCGTATTCGGAGCTCGTAATGATACTACAACCTATGACTAAAAAGTTCGTATGCAGATCCACGTTTTCGTATAGGCCCCATATAACGGTACCTCTCGATATTCGGTATTTTGATGATTTTAGCGACATTCTTCACCCGAATTATTTCAAATGTCGTATTTGAAGTTTGTAATGGGTACTATAGTCGATGCCTAAAAATTTCATATGCAGGTCTAAGTTTTCGTATAGCTCCTATATAACGGTACCTCCCGTTATTCGGTATTTTGACGATTTTAGCGACATTATTCATTGGAATTCTTTCAAATTTCGTATTTGAAGATCTTAATGGGAACCACGGTCTATGAAAAAAAAAAAATACTTATGCCGGTCTTCGTATAGCTCCCATATAACGGTACCTCCCGATATTCGGTATTTTGATGATTTTAGAGACATTATTCTCCTGAATTGTTTCAAATTTCGTATTCGAAGATTGTTATGGGTAATACAACCTATTCCTAAAATTCATCGGAATTGTTTCAAATTTCGTATTTGAAGATCTTAATGGGTACTACAGCTTATGACAAAAATTGCTAATGCAGGTCCACGTCTAGGCAGGTCCCTTCGTGTAGTCCCCGTATTAAGATCATCATTTTAACGTTATTTTTCGGATTTTTTTTTTTAAATTTCTAAATTCCTTCTAAATGGTGGAGGGTATTGAAAGTTCGGCCCAGTCGAACTTAGCTGCTTTTTTACTAGTTTACTAGCTGAACCCGGTGCGCTTCGCTACCCCTTTTGATTTTATATGCATTCAAAATTTTATTTACGAATATATGTTGGATAAAGAAAAACAAATTTAAAAATTAAAAAAAAAATATTGCACTAATTTAAGGCGTAAATAACCAAAACCATTAGAAAAGCAGTAACATGACATACATACACGAAGGGTTTGTCCTTTGGATTTATTTATTTCATAGCAAATACCAAGCGTGCAGGAAACTGCAATTTTTTTAAGTAGAGTGGCATTTCTATTGCAAGTAGTGAATTCGAGATAGCAACATACTTCGCCGTAATAAGCGTATTTCAAATAAATTGTTGTGTTGTTTTTTAGTGTTAGCCTAAGGCGTTGTGGGTCAATGGTTCTTATTAAAATCATATCCCAATCTGATCCGATTTAAATATAATTAAAAAAAAATACTTTTACACCAAACTCCGCCACACCTTTCATATTTAATTGAAATTGGTGCGTCAAATATGTGAAATCGGCCGAGAATATATATATGGGAGCTATATCCAAATCTTAACTAATTTCCAATTAATTTATCACATTTATTATTATAACAAAATTCCGCCACACATTCTGAATTTCATTGGAATCGGTCATATATATCGTGTTTGGTGCATAATATGTATGAAATCGGCCGAAATATATATGTTAGCTATATCCAAACCTCAACTGATTTCAATATAATTTGGCAATTTTTGCTGGTGCCAGATTTTGTCTCTCTCGCTTTGGGTGCATCAAATATGTGAAATCGGCTGAGTATATATATGGAGCTATAATCACATCTGAGCGTATTTGAATATAATTTGTCAAATTTATTTTTGTACCAAATTTAGCCACTCATGCCGAATTTCGTTAGAATCGGAAATACGTATCGTGTTTTGTGCATCAAATATGTGAAATCGGCGGATAATATATATGGGAGCTATATCCAAATCTGAACCGATTTTAATATAATTCGACTAATTTATTTTCTAATCAAAATCCCGTTACATATTCCAAATTTCTTTGGAATCGAACATACATATCGTGTATGGTGCATAAATCGGTCGAAAATATATATGAGAGCTATATCTAAATCTGAACCGATTTTAATATAATTTGACAAATGTATATTTGTTTTAATTTCCGCTACACATTTCAAATTTCATTGAAATTAGAGATACATAGCGTGTTTGGTGCATCAAATACATGAAATCGGTCGAAAATATATATGGGAGCTATATCCAAATCTGAACCGATTTCAATATAATTTGAAAAATTCATTTTTGCTCCCGATTCCGTTACTTATTTTAAATTTCATTAAATTTGGACATACATATCTTGTTTGGTCCACCAAATACATGAAATCGGCCGAAAATGTATATGAGAGCTATATCCAAATCTGAACCGATTTCAATATAATTTGGGAAATAATTTTTTTTAGATAAAATCTATCACACGTTTCAAATTTCATTGAAATTGGGGATACATAGCGTGTTTGGTGCATCAAATGCTTGAAATCGGCCGAAAATATATATGGGAGCTATATCCAAATCTGAACCGATTTCAATATAATTTGACAAATTTATTTTCGGATCAAATCCCGTCACATATTCCAAATTTCATTGGAATGGAACATTCATATTGTGTTTGAGGCATCAAATGAACGAAATTGGTCGAAAATATATATGGGAGCTATATCCAAATCTGAACCGATTACAATATAATTTACCAAACTTATTTTTGTTCCAAATTCCGTTACACATTCCAAATTTGGAGACTGTATCTTTAACCGATCAATAGATATGTGCATATAAAATCTAAATTTTTGGGAGGTACCTCCGATTCTGATGCTATATCTCCAGTTCCAAGTGGAAATTCAAAAATGTATATAGCCTATGTTACTTTCAGGCGATGTTGCAGTATATATGGAAATTTTCAGAAAAATCTATTCAGCAGTTTTCGAGTCCATAAATTACAAACAAACAAACAAACAAACAAACAAACGTACAAACATTTTCCTCTTTTATAGATATAGATATTGTCTCATGAAAAGTTTTCGCCACAGCACATGCAAAAAATAAACACAATGTGTCAAGATGCAACCAATCGATGACACACGACGATGTGTGTCAGCACAAAAAGAGACGAAGAACATAAATTCAAATTTCAATTCAAATCTGCAATCATTTAAAATGTAACCCCGATAACAATGCTATTTGTTCAGCGATTTGCAACAATCGACGATTTTTTGTTTGTTTGTTTTGCTATCCAAATATTAGCTCGTGATGTCTGTCGATTGATTTTGGTGTCGTCTTCATCCGACGTCTATGGAGTTTTGTAGTTTAAATTTTCAAATCTTTAAAGCTTTAACGGGGGACACAATTAATATTGCAAAATATTCTTACAGATCGACAAAACACAAAATGAAAAAGAACGGTCACGTTTTTTCGTTTAACAAATTATGGTTTGCAATCTTTTTTTTTTACGAATTTCCGATATTTTTTTTTAATTTTTTATATCTATTTTTTGTTTGGTTACAACTCTGATCAATTTTAATATAGAGTACCACTTTGCCTCGCACTGGATATTTGTTTGAGTTATGCGCTACCAAGAAGTGAACGATGTGTTCCGTACGACAGAAGTCCGTTTAGTAAAACAATGCCTGCGATACTGATGAGCTGTGGAGTGGAGTCTTCGCTAACGTTGTCGTTGAGCTGTTCTTCATCACC